TTTAATATGGATTTGTTTTTATAAATATTTACTTGTTTTTATTACCAAAATTTTACAAGTTAAAAGCTTATATGAATTTATTATTTTACTAAAATTTACTTATTAAATTATTAAGGAAAAATTTTTAAAACTAATAACAAGACTTTTTATTTTTGTAAATGGTTACTTGTTAAATTCACTACAAAAAAATAGTGAATTAGTGATGAAATAAATTTCTATTGTTAATTTGTTGCTAATCTGTAGCTAATTCTGTTGCTAAATTATAGATAGAATTTAGTGACGAAATGTTCTATTGCTAAAATTTTATCATTATTCCTTCACTAATCCATCAAAAATAATTGAATGACAAAATTTACTAATGAAATGTTCCGTCACTAATTTTTAGGATATTTTATTCTAATTTAGTGAAGAAATTTGAGACAAAAAAATCCATCACAAAGCTTTCTATTATAATTCCATTAGTCATTCCGTCACAAATTATTTTTATTTTAATTTTATTGTTTATAATATATAGTTATATATAATTTATTTAATAATTTATTATTATTCTATGAATAAATAATTTAAAAATTATAATTTAAAATGATTTATTATTTTGGCATCTTCTTATATAATTAATAATAGTAATTTAAATTGTATACTTCATTATTCTTATATAAAATAAATAAAATATATTAATAAATAAAATTTTAAAATATTATATATTAGATAGGTACAAACTATAATATAATATATAATTATAATAAAATAATTTTCAATTTAATATTAAATTTATCATCAAAAATAATTTTTAAAATAAAATATAACAGAAGTAATTATTATATATAAATTAAATTTTACCATATTAATAAATAAATATAATGTTTAATAAAAAAGTAAATTTAAATGTATTTATTAATATATGTCTGTGGTTAAATATTATATATTTAATTTTTCAATTAAGATTGATCATTCATTTCAGCTCAACTAACAATAAGGTGGACGTAAATGCACTAGAGGGTGTTAGGTTGTGAGTTTAGTCTTGGCCCAGATACAATTAAAGATAATAATTTTTGATATGGGAGTGAGAAATGACACGGTGGTGAGGCAATATGAGGTGACACAAGCCTACTAGGTGATGATGTAGTGTGAGGTGGTATTGATCCACTAGTGAGATGGTAATGATATTTTGATCAGCCTAAAAATTAGAGCTGGAATAAATCTATTGGAAAATTTGCGAATCCTTATTTAGTGACAAAAATTTGCCATCAATTAAAAATGGAATGCAATTTCATCACTAATTTTTCTCTTTATAAATTAGTGACAGTGTTTTTAGCAATGAAAACATTCTGCTGCTAACCCATTTGGTGAGAGAATTTTCACAAATTAGCGATAGAAAATTCTGTTGCTAATCAACTGTTTTTTGGTTGTGATTACCAATGGAGACTTGTTAATAAAATGTAATATACACTGACTTTTATAAATGTCTCCTTATTTTTACAGCCAAAAATTCACATGTCAAAGGCTTATATGAACTTATTATTTTATGAAAATTTACTTGTCATATTATTAAAAAAAATTTCAAAGTTTGTAATGGTACTTGTTATTTCATAAATTAAATGATTACTTGTTAAATTATTATTAAGGATTGGTTAAAAAAAATTTAATGTGCACTAGTTTTTAATTACATTTTGGTACCATGATCTTGTAGAGCAATTTCAGAATCCTTTGGTCTTTTTTTATGAATAGATTTCTATACAGGTCCTTCATTGCAATTTTCCCAAATTTATATTTAAGAAATATTTGAAAATGTAAAAAACATAAGAAATAGAAAGAAAAAGTGGCCGGTTGAGTTGGCATTTTCCCAACCCGCCACGAGGCAAACCGCCTAGCTAACCCACAACCTGTAGCGGCCAATTTGCAGCATGTAGGTTGACCCGTGTTATTATCTTTATCTGCCACATTCCCAACGGTTTCCATATTGTAAACAGTGATAATATGGTGAACTTGAATATGCAGACAAAAAAATGGTAAGTGGCCGGTTTTGTATGAATGCTAAAACACATACGAACCACAAGAAATTTTGTATTATTTGAGAAAAGAAAGGATTGAGTGACATTATCAGAAACAAAAATCTGACAACCTATGGGCCATAATATTCAATATATCTTCTCTTTAACATTATTTATTTCTAATTAATGACATGTTTTCTCTGTAATAATGCCTTAAAGTGAATTGAATTTTATTATGGCAGGAATCAATCAGCCAATTTTTTTCCTTTTTCTTTTCTTTTCTTTTCTTTTCTTTTCTTTTTTCTATTGCAAATGAAATAAATCAATTTTTTAGTGAGCATTTACAGTTTCATAATTCTTTGAAATCTTACTTTAATTTGGTCCACATCATATATTTATATATTGACATTTGTTTGATTATAGCATAATAAATATCGTTAATTTCATGTGCTTTGAATTAAAATTAAAAATGGATATAATAACACGTACGGATCAACATACACTTATATAAAGTTTGCATGCTTTGAATCTCTCTTTGAATTGATGAACCTTACGGTGTGTAGTATATATCCACTTCAGCGATTAGTGATTTTTAAAAATTAAATTGTGAGCATCAAAGTTAACATGAGTGTTAGAGGTCTTATCCAATCAGCAAGTGGTTGAGGTTCTATTTCCAGCTCGTGCACGGACTGACACGTACGGAGATGCTTTCAGTCCAGGACCAAAATAATAATTGAATGCGGGTAACCTAATATACATATATATGTTATCGCGCGCGCGCTATTTTGAAGGCAGAAAGCAAGTTAAATATATATAAATTTAAATAAAAAGTAGCAGACCACTTGATGGTGTATAGAAGAAAATTGAGATAAAGGCTTATTATTTTCCTATACACCCTTATCCCAATCAGAGAGATCTAGTAGAAAACATTATGACTTAAAGAATCTGAGTAGAGTTGGGCATCAAATAAACCATAGTGAATGGATGATGAACTTCTCAAATAATTAACCATAATTGATTGAGGAGAATATGTGCTTAAAAATATCAATTATGGAATCTTCAAATAATTGCTTGAAAGAATGAAGGAGCCAATCAACCATCCTAGCATTATTGATGAAAGATATTTGAAAGGAGACCGCCAAACCAAATGTATCTAACCAGAGGACATTCAGCAAAAATGCGTACTATTGTTTCATCACTTTGACAGCCAAAGGTGCATAATTGATTAGTGTTTGAGAGATGATGCCCCCCCCCCCCAAAAAAAAAAATATATCACCAATTGCAGGAGCGCTCCATTAATTGATTACTGCGTATTTGCTTTAGAGGCAACTTTAGGTTCAATTTAGTTGCAAGAAAGGATAAAAATGGAATCGATTGAAAAAGATTAAAACAAAAATGAACTAAGTCATCCTCTATTCTGAAATTATCATACAATATTATATATAATAAATGTGAAAATCACCATACTTTTAAAAATCTCATAAATCATAACTTTCAATCCCCTAAATTAAATTGGCTTTTACTTTTGTAAAATATGATTCACCCATGGTATTGAAACTTGGATCGGACCAGCCAGGTCAACCCAAAAATCAGTGACCTGATTCCTTGTCCGATCTGAGTTTACTCCTAAACTGGTGAAGGAATGAACCGGTGTAACTCGGTCAACCCGGGTTCAACTCAGTATAACCCAGTTAATCCGGTGGGTTAACTAGGTTAACCGGATTTTTTTTTGGAGATTTTTTTATTTTTGATTTTTCAGAATGCTGAGTTCAAAAATAAGATAAAAAAAGTGAAACTAAAGTCAAAAAATGAAAAATTAGAGGTAGGGCACGCTAAGTCCAATTTAGATTTTTAGACAGCATTTAGTTCGGCCTTTCATCTGCATCTCTCCTCTCTCGCCTTAACCTAATCTCCATCTCTTCTCTAGCTTAGTCTCTGTCTCTTCTCTAGGCTCTAGCTCTATCTTCGTCTCTTCTCCAGCTCTATCTCTGTCTCTGCTATCTCCATCTCTTCTTCAGCTTAGTCTCTAACTCTCTATTTCTTTTCCAGCTCAATCTCCGTCTCTTCTCCACATCTATCTCCGTCTCTTCTTTAGACTTTTGAGATTGAAGAGTTGTAATTATAATGATAGATATTTGAAGTGTTGTATTTTATTACTGTTAGACTTTTGAGTGGTAGGACTTGGTTGAATGTTTTTATAATTAATGTCTTTTTATTTAAATTGTATTATTTTAATCATGACCGGTTTGCCACCGGTTTAACCTCCAGTTCAACCCTAATTGAACCACTAATTCGTGACCCAGTGCCATGATCGGTTCAATGACCGGTTTGGTTTTACGTAACTTAGATTCACCCATTCCCTTTCACATCTTAATTTTTTTATTTTTAATCTTTATTTTTTTAATCTAATCCATTCTATTTCTTTCCGGTAACCAAATTAGACCTTATTTTTCAAATAAAGTTTCAAATGGAGTGGCCTGACAGACGTGAAGCAGAGCAATTCTGAGCAAGTAAAAAGTTCGTAGCCTTTCTTAGCAATATAATCACCAGTGAGATGCTTCTATTGGGATTGACACACTTTATGTTTATTTTTATTTGAAATTGATACAACTAATTTACAAAGAAATTCAGATGCTTCAAGCCGAAACCATGAACACGAACTTCATATAATTAAATAGTACGTGTGGGTGAAAAAGAAAGGGAACACCAACCACGATATTAATACACATTTGAGGAAGTACATTTTGTTTTGACCAGACTGCTTTACCATGTATAGCGATCAAAATACAAGCAAAAATTTAGACCTCAATAGTTATTAGTTGAATGGATTAACTTGAGTTCCCATATATAGCACGTTGTTCACATTCTGTCAGAGGATTCAAGAACTCTGTCCACATGCGTTGAAACGCGTTTAATTTGACTCCAACATGCGTGGAAACTTCTCCCTTTATTTTTCCTGGCTATAAATGCAAGTCTAGTTCACTTCCCAGATTAACAAGAGAACTAGCTAGTTCAAAATTTTTAGAGCTCAAGTCTCAAACCTTGAGGGACTATTTTACTTTAAACGCTGCACAAAGCGTAATCGCGTAGAAGAGAAATACACACAAAGACGTTTTCCAAGATGACCTTGACAAAAGAAATTGTGGGTCAATCAATGGTGGAAGCTTTTCGTTTGGATGCTTCAAAGAAACCATTTTACTTTAAGCGCTGCACAAAGCAGCAGCATAGAATTTCCTTGCCTCCCACTTTCAATTTCTCAGTTCATACAACAAAGGAGCAGAAGAAAAAGGTGGTTCCACAATCTGTCTCTCCTCTCTCAACTTTTACTGAGGGGACTGAGTCCAGGAGGGGCCTTCCTGCTAGGAAGCCGGTGTTGGAGACGGCAACAGTGACTTTGACTGCCATGGTAACTATCAAGAATAGCAAACATGCAGAGAATGAGATGATGTCGATAATGCTTCAGCATTTTGAAGCTTTCAACAAAACCACGTCTGGGAGAGCCATGGTTATGCAGTTAGTGAGTACTGAAGTTGACCCTAGTAAGCTTTTGTTTTATTTTATCCTTTCTCTTGTTAGATACCACACGTAATGTTTTATACCACGCTTATCTAGATAAATTTATTATTAAATTGGTTCTCAAATTGTATGTGTGAAAATGAAGGAACAATGGAGCCAAAGGTGAGCAAAAACGCTGTATTGGAGTGTACGAAGGACGTGAAAGTTGGGAATCCCAGGACCACTTACAAAGTAGAATTTGAGATTGATTCAGATTTTGGGTTACCAGGAGCAATCACTGTGGTAAACAAATGTGAAAAGGAATTCTTCTTGGAAAACATTGTGGTTGAAGGCATCTTCCATTTTCCTTGCAATTCTTGGGTTCAACCTGAGAAGCTTCATCCGGAGAAGAGAATTTTCTTCACCAACAAGGTAATTAAATGCATGTTGTAATGTATTGATTTTCTTTCTTTGTAACCATAATAAATTGAGACTGGTTGATTGATGTTGTTAATTTGCTGTAATGTAATGTTCCAAACAGGTTCATTTACCTTGGGAGACTCCGGCGGGTCTAAGAGACCTCAGAAAAGAAGAGCTAAGGCAGGCAAGAGGAGATGGTGAAGGTGTTAGAAAACATGGTGATAGGATTTATGACTTCGAAGTGTACAATGATTTGGGAAATGCAGACAAAACAAGACAAGATCATTTAAGGCCAACATTTGGTGGGCATCAATATCCCTTCCCTAGACGATGCCGAACAGGTCATCCTCCTTCTGTCTACGGTGAGCTGTCACCCATCAACTTCATATCATGATTGGGACCATTGAATCGTGCAAAAGAAAATAAAATAACTTAATAATTCACCGAATTAAACTGTACCCTCATTTATCAAGATTTAGATATAAGTTTGGGAAATAAAGCTAAGCCATTAATTAACTTGTAAAGAATAACATTTTATATTTTATATTAATTTTGATGACTGTGAAAGTTTTATAAATAATTTATCCTTTTTTTTTTATTCAAAACTATTGCAGACCAGAAAGTTGAGTCGCCAGTAAATGCATTCAATGAAACGTATGTGCCCAGAGATGAAGTATTTGATAAGATCAGAATTGAAGCTCTTGATGTGGAAAGGACTAAAGGAATAACTCGAAATCTTATTCCTTTCTTCAAAACTTGTGTCACAAAATGTGGAACTTTTAAGCAGTTGTCAGATGTTACCAGCATTTACAATGGAAAGTGTGAAGGTGCAAGCAATAAGATCCAAGATTCTTTGAATGAGTACTTCAAATTCAGCACCCCAAATATTATCAGAGGTATGTTCAGCAAATTTTATTATGCAAAATTTTAACTCACTGTAAACTTTTGAATTGTTAAAGGTATTAAGTACACAACTATCAATGATTGTAGGAAATAACAGTGGTTTTTGCATACGAGATGAGGAACTTGGCCGCCAGACGTTGGCTGGCATCAACCCTCTCAGCATAAAAAAGCTCGAAGTAAGTATATAAATAGTCTAAATAAAATTTATCTTATTATTAATCTAAGTTTTTCCTCTATGCATAGTGATCTTTTTATATGTTTCCTTCAAAAAATATAACCAACCTAATTGGTAGATTAGTTCCTAACTTCCCTAAACTTTTGTAGACCTTTCCTCCAAAGAGTGATTTAGACCCATCTCTATGTGGTTCACAAGAGTCAGCTCTCAAAGAGGAACACATTTTGCCCTTCCTCCATGGAATGTCTGTAAAAGAGGCTTTGGAAGAGAAGAAGTTATTCATATTGGATTACCATGATGCTTATATCCCATTTCTCAAAGGCATAAATGCTCAAGAAGATAGAAAGGCTTATGCGACTCGTACCATTTTCTTCTTGACCCGTCTAGGAACATTGAAGCCTATAGCAATTGAGCTCAGTCTTCCAGAAGGATATCCAAATCATTTGTTCAAACAAGTCCTAACTCCTCCTGAGGATTCCAACTCTTATTGGTTGTGGCAACTTGGCAAAGCACATGTTTGCTCCAATGATTCCGGAGTCCACCAGCTTGTCCAACACTGGTAAATAACTCTATAAACCTAATCTCTATTGAGATATTTTTTGTTCAAAGCAATTATTTGATCAAATTTTAATGGCTAAAATTGAAATCATCGTTGAACATATACAGGTTGAGAACCCACGCATGCATGGAACCGTTTATTATAGCAGCTCATAGGCAATTGAGTGTGATGCACCCTGTTTTCAAGCTTCTAAAGCCACATATGAAAGACACCTTGCAAATAAATGCCTTAGCACGTGAAGCTCTCATCAATGCTGGAGGCATTATTGAATCTGACCTCTCTTGTGGTAAATATTGTAACCATATTGTTTCTGCTGCCTACAAAGATTGGTGGCGTTTTGACATGGAAGCCCTTCCTAACGATCTTATCAGAAGGTTTGAATTTTAAACTCACATTTCTTAATCTCAATTTAGGATATTCTACAAAACATAAAGATTAATGAACTTTTAATAATGCAGAGGATTAGCTGAACCTGACCAAACCAAACCCTACGGACTGAAATTGCTCATCGAAGACTATCCTTACGCAAATGATGGCCTTCCCATTTGGTTTGCGATAGAGAAATGGGTTAGGACCTATGTAACTTACTATTATCGCGATGGGCTTATGGTTCAATCAGATTATGAACTTCAGGCTTGGTATAGCGAGGTAATCAATGTTGGCCATGCAGATCACAAACATGCAAGCTGGTGGCCTAAACTATCAACTCCTAGTGACCTCATTTCTGTCCTCACAACTCTAATTTGGATTGCATCAGTACAACATTCTGCTGTGAACTTTGGGCAGTACCCTTATGGAGGGTATGTCCCCATGCGTCCCCCATTGATGAAAAGGCTATTACCTAAAGAAGATGATCGAGAGTACAAAGAGTTCATGAAGGACCCAGAGGGGTATCTTTTGAGCTCAATGCCTAACTTGTTTCAGACCACAAAGTTTTTGACCGTGGTCAACATTCTTTCACAACATTCTACAGAGGAAGAGTATTTGGGACAAAGGAAGAATCTTTCAGATTGGTCTGATGATCATGAAATCATAGAGGCATTCTATAGGTTGTCAATGGAATTAAAAAGAATAGAAAAGGAGATTGAGAAGAGAAATAAAGACACAAATTTGAGAAATAGGTATGGGGCTGGAATTCCACCATATGAGTTGCTCATGGCTAGTTCTGGTCCCGGAGCCACTTGTAGAGGGGTGCCTAATAGCATAAGTATATAAAGACATGATAGTTTGAAATTATTTTGGGAAATATTTCTTCTTCGCCCTCATTTGGGCCAATTACAGGTTTACGGTTTGGTTAGAGAAGTGTATGTATGACATCCTGTGAAGGAAGAATGAGTGCATCATTGAGACACTATTCTTGCGCGCATAATGTAATGGATGATAAATGAAATCATTGATTGTTTTAGTTTTGATGTTCTAATTTTAAGTTAAAGGGAATATATAAATATACCATAATTTTTATGAACAAAATTAAAGTACTTTTGCGTATCCAAATCAATGCATCCAATGAAATAATGAAATCAATCTAAATATCAAAAGTGATTGATTAAGTTACTCAATTATACAAAGAAATATGCAAAGAACAAAATATAAATTATATGCTCAGTTCATGAAAATTGAAATTATGATTGTGGTGAAAAAAATAACGCTGTCACACGTGTTAAAAATGATTTAAAATCTCTAAAGTTGTGATTTTTATTGTCCTTTCATTACGTGAAGCATGGCTATTATCCATGATTGCAAGGAGCATGGCATGTGGATAAACATGTACAGTTATATGGTTTTACAAATTCTGTAATAATTAAAAAAGAAGAAGAGAGAAGTAAATAAAACTTAGAACATGATTTGTCAAACACATTAGTTACCCGTGATTAATGGCTTATCCAATTCATGATTATGTATTACGATAGTAAAGTATTATAAACGCCATATAATCCAAGTCCATTGTTTCTTGGGTGAAGAGGTTTGCCAAAAAACAAAAAAACAAACAAAAGAAAAGAAACTAGAAAAAAAAAAGATTCAGTTTAGATGTCATCTTTTAATCTGTTTAAGGATAGAGAGTTATGAATGTCTGGACTTACGCATTTCATCTTGTACATTTTTGCAGCTATACGGTTACCATCTTAATATATAGTGGTAATAGTTGTTTGGTGAAAGATTTGAGAAATGCAACTAATTGAATGGGATAAAGATGCTTAGTAATGTCACATAAGATATGGTAGAATTTGTTTCTTTTCTATAGAAACACTTAAAAACCTTGAATATTGTTTATATTTGTGTATGTCGCATATTTATTTGGAGGGCTTAAGTGATGCTGTTTGTTTTAGACCATTCGTTGCAGGCGGATGGTGCAGTTTGATGCAACAAATGTGAGGAAATGTAAAAGCCAGATTCTGCAGTTTGTATTGGCAAATTTTGAGTGAGGTTGAGAGAGAACTGAGGGAGTGGCACTGGATGAACTCTATTAGGATTTGCTTGTAGGGAGTTTTGGACGATATTTAAGGCATTCAAGAACTTGGGTAAGCTTCCTAATTCATTATCCTCTCTTCTTCTTGAGTGTGGGCATAGATATGAAATGTATGAGAGTTTCAGTCCTTCCTATGATTTAAATAAAGTCTATGGCTGCTATTGTATGTTTCTAGCATTAAGCTTCGGACAATGGAATACTATTAATGAGGGGTTAGAGCTAAATCTTAATGTTAAATAATTAAATTTAGGCTAATGAGGATAGCTAATAGTGCTAGCTAAGCTCATTGATGATTAAATGTATTAAGGAAAGTGAATTTTGTTGCTGTCTTTACTTAATCATGCTTAACAAGGGATTAAGGCCTTAACTATGATTAGGATTAATTAATATCTATTAGTCATTAATGATAATGACACATGATTCTAATTGTAGATTGACCATTCTTGGAGCTATTTGTGCATCATTTGGAAGCTCTTTTAGAATTCAAATTGTACTCTTGAGGTGATAACCTAAGGATTGAGGTAATTGAGAGTTAAATTATTATATATGTCTGTATGTGCATTTATAAGCTTAATATATTTTGTTATGAAATGGTATGATATGGTTAGAGCTTGTCATTTGTGCAAATAGTTGAATCATATGTTTGGAATGTTAGTGTGAAAATAAATGGTTTTATGGTATGTTATAGAAAATGCACGTGTGAATATGGCTTAATGAATGTGACATTGACCATATGTTGAGTAGTGTGAAACCATATCTATCAATAAATATGACTTGTCGATGATTATGTTTCCATAAGCTAATGTATTAGATTTAAGTATTGTAATTGGTTTATGATTAATGATAGAGGTCATTACAATAGTAATCATGAATTACACTAAGTCTTAAGGGACTTGATTATAGGTTATGAATTTTGCGAGACTTATTTATAAATAAGTCTATTGTAATGGATCTGTTCATAATTTTTTCTTAAAAAATATAATGTACTTCTAATAAAAATATGAATAGATTGACAACGGAGATAGAAAAGAAAATAAAATGCTTCCTTTCATTCTATTTGTAAGTCACTTCAAGCATATTTTACTAGAATAAAGGAAAACATTAAATTTCGTTAACTCTGTTTTAAAATTTAAAATTTTTCACCTTTCTCCCCTAATACGGAAAAACAGGAATCATTTTTAATTATTTTTCCTAACATTTAATAAAATCTAAAAAAAAAGATGAACATAAAAATAACGAAGTACCTTATAATAGAGCCAAAATTAATTTTCTTTCTTTATCTTACATATAAGACCAGAGAAGTAAAACATGCACTAAGATTCAGTGATGAAATGGGGTTTGCTACACATTAGGCCAACAGGGAGAGAAGATACGATGATAGAACCTGAGCAAGAAAATGAGAACAAGAAAAAACACATTGAAATAATTAAAAAAAATGAAAAAATGTTTATATTTAACAAAAAACAAAAAAAAAAACAGAAGACCGAATTTAGTGTCAAATAATTTTAAGTTGTCAGTGAATTAGTTCCCTTTCATTGACTAATTAATAGAAAAAATAAAAATGTGATGTATATGGAAAATACGTAGAAATAGGTGCATAAGAATATATAAAATTAAAAGCTGATTAAAACAGGTGAAAATTCTCTTATCTTGCTTTTCCATTATCTTCCCTTCTTTTTCCTTTTTAACCATTATATCAAAATTTGGATGGTTTAAATTTAATCTCTTATAAAATTATTATTGAAATGTTAAAGCATAAAATAAAAAATATTAAAATCCAAATTTTTAAAATTTAATATGAACAATTTAAAAATATGATAAAAATAAAAAAAGAATATAATATAGGAAATTAAATTTGGATTATCATAATCTTGATCTGATGGTTATAAATTAAGAAGAAGATGAGAAATGGATGGGAAAGGAAGAGGAGGAAATCCTCACCTTAGACACATTATTTCAGGGGTAATTTATTTAAGGGTTAAGGTTGATTGTTATCCTTGAAATTTTTTTTTTAAAAGAGCACTGGATACTTCATATTGATAAGTGAGGCAATATTCTCCATGAATTATTTTTCCAAAAAGCAAAAATTTCCTTTTACTAGTCACCCATTAAGTTTGCTATTTTCTTTTTGTTTTTTGGTGAAAAACTTTGCTATTTTCTATTGACATGGCATGCGTATGAGACCCATGAGCTCTGACAAGTAGGATTCTAACTATGTTATTTGGTGTTAGTTTACTGCCAGATTCTTTTTCACAAGTGCTGTGCATTCTAAAGTTATGTTAAAATAAAATTTAATAAATATTTTTAAAATATTAAACATTTTAATATTTAAAATATAATTTAAATATTATTATTTATAAATATTTATAAAAAATTTATAAATTATTTTGTAAATATTAACAGCTCTAACTGTATTTTCAAAAAACTATAGATGATTTGTAAATTGTGTATGAAGATTTGTAAACAACAACATTTACAAATAGATTACAAATAAATTAACGTATAAAAAGATTAATATTGATTAAGTTACTTAAATCTTTTAGATTCATTCCCTGGGGTTAAGGTAAAAGTTTGGTTTTTTTTTATGGACCCTTTTATTTATTTATTTATTTATTGGGGGGATTTTAACCGTTGTTAGTAACCTTGTCACAACTTGCTGGGATATCAAAATAAACTCTGCACTGATATTGAAACAAAAAAGGAAAAAAAAACACTAAAAATAAACTTGCTGAGCAGATTGTTTTAAATTTCTTAATATGTACAAACATTAATTAGTTGTTATAAATTTCTCACTTTTTTTTTGTTTTGCTTAATTTTGTTGTTGTTTATTTATTATTATTATTACTATTATTATTATTATTATTATTATTATTATTATATCGTCTTGAACATTCAGATAAATCCCTCACGCGGTTAGATAAAATGAACTTGGACATTTCCACGTTCATCAAAAGGACAAATTTACCTTTCCACAAAGGAGGAATAAAAACAAAAAGAAAAGTACATACGTACTTGTATGCACATGGGCAAGGCAAGCAATTGACGGAACTACGCACAGAAGCAAGATTAAGACAATATAAATTCAAATTTTTTAATTTATAATTTCAAAATAATAAATCTATTTATTTTTCCAAATTAACAAATATAGAATCATCTTTAGCATACATTTTATGTGTACTAAATTTAAAATAATTAATGTATGAAAAATAAAATAACAAATGAATCAAAATTTGGACCATCTAGTCTCCCATTCGAATTTGATGAACTTCACTTCAGAAGTTAAATCCCAATCAAGCATGCCCACTTGGTCAGAACGTATCGTTAAGTACCCGCACGACTAACTAGTATATTTGTGTTTTGCCTTTTTGAGCCAATAACGACTAAAAAGTATATGACAGCCACACACACCAATGTAAAGATTAAAATATCCACCGCTAGTTTAATCAAAACAAAAAACAAAAATTACATCTACCGCGGCCATGAACATGGTTCAGCTCGGTGGCCCCAACTTAGGTTGGAGATTTTCAATATCTATGAAGGTGAGCTCATTGGCCTGGCTTGCCTAACTTGCAACCCATGGTGATGACAAGTTAACTCGCAAACCCATGAGTTGGCCAACTTTTCTTAAGAAAATATTTTTAAATTATTTTTGTTAATAATTTTAGTTTTAATAAAGGGATAAATGAAGAAATTGCCTCTTGAACCTTAGGGCCATTAACACCATTTACTTATTATGTAAATTATTTTTTCAACTTTTGAAAATAATGCAATTTGCCCTTACTGTTAATATAAATTAACTTTGATTGTTAGTTAACAAGAAATGACCAAAAAAGACCTCAAAAATTACAAAATGACAAAAAAAAAGGTTCTTTCATGCAATTTTTTGGGTCCTTTATTGTAATTTTTTAGTCCTTTTCTATAATTTTTTCTATCATTTTCTATCATATATTTTTTAGTCAATGAATAGTTAAAGTTTACTTTTGTTAATGATAAGGGCCAGATTACATAATTTTTAAAAGTTAAGGGATAATTCGCATAATAAACGAGTTTAGAGTTATCATGTTATTTGATCTAAAGTTTATGAGATAATTTGTTCATTTACCAAGCAAACCAGAACAGGGCTCTAGCTACACTACAAATGCAGGCTCCCTCCAACAAGATGGATCTACAATGATTCTAAGGGTAGGTTAATTAGCTCAGGCATTTCATTTTGAACCTATTGAACATAATGACTTATGATATTATGTTTAGTTACGTTTAAGTTTTGATAATGACAAATATAGATTAGTTTATGATATACTTATGCCTAATCGTTTTCATATATATAATAGTTAACTATGATTATGGAACAAGTATTTTAAAGTGTTCTTACCTATATTGTTCCATAATACTTTTATATCCAAGGATATTCAAAATATTATCTTTTATATATAGGATATAAGGCTTTTCATATGCATAATACTATAACCTTCACATTTATACTTATGTGCATATTGTAATGTTCGCCTTGACATTATCAAAATTTACCACACAATCACAGCAAACAATCACAATTAAGAGCAATGATTGCTCCTAAACTTACATTATCTATATAAGGGTTAAAACTAATAATTGTTAGAAATAATTTTGAAATATCTAGGATCCTATAAAAAACCTTCAAATTTATAGTTTGAGTTCAAACTTA